AAAGAAAAAAACAAAACAAAAAGTGAGGGGGGGCTATAGAGCTAAGGGTGTAGCTCAGTTTGGAGAACATTTGCCTAGCTCAAGGCCCTGCCTTTCATCCCCAGCACTGTAAAATCACAAAACAACAAATACCAAAGAGCTATATTGCAACAGTGTCTTCTGCCTTTGGCTTCCTATTTGCCTCTCAGATTCTAATCAGCTTTTTTCTATTTCTTACATAATTTATGTGTGTATATTCTTATATGTACAAGATAATTTTTTTTTTTTAACTTGGCCATGTTAATATCACTTTTGGCAGGGGCAGGTGGTGGTACCACTGAGCTAAATCCCCAGCCCACAATTTTTTTTTTTCTACAAGAGAATTTTTTAATGCTATGCAATTTGTTAGTGCTAAATAAAAGCTCTGTATTATTATTAATATTGACTTTGTTCTAATTACTTATGGATTAAAGTTTTATTAGTTATTAATTTGATTTGAAATGTTATGTGTGACATTTATGCCACTAGAAGAATTACTAGCACTTCCGTAATTTTTTTAAAAGTTAGGTTGTGTGTATACTCTAAGTGGTCATTTTGGAGCGTGTGACACATATTGAGTCTTTCGATATTCTGAATTATGTGTTTCCTCCAAGATTTTGTTGTTGTTGTTGTTTATAAATGTTCTAACAATTTAAGATAATCCAGTATTTTCATTATCTACAAAGATCAATTCATTTTTAATGCACTTTTTCTAAAATCTAATTGTCTTTGTATTTTAATAGTTTCCTGTTATATATAGCTTTGTACATGTAAATAAATTTTGTACTAAGTATATATTTGTTTTTTGTTTCATGTTGTATGTGATTATAGGGATTAAATCTGAACACCACACATGTGTGTTTTCAAAACAGCATTTATATCTTTCACCCAGTGGTGTTAGCATTCTGTTTAAGTAATTTAGGTGCACTTGGGAAGGTGTTTATTCCCTAAAACTGAGTTTATTTTTCTGACTCATATTTATACATGTTTTAAAAATCAAAATATAGTAATGTTATACTAAATTACAGAAGCAATATAGTACTTCTACCTTAAGAGAAACACATTAACTAATACATAAATAAATTAATATTGATTTTTTTTTTTTGTAGAGGGCAGGGTTTGGAAAGGAACCCAGAGCCAGTATATGCTAGGCAACACCCCCAGCCCTGATTACTATTAAATATTACTTGCTACATCCCCAGCTATACCTCCAACCCTGATCATTATTAAATATCACACACTTCTAGTCAGGTATTTAGACCACGTTAAAAATTTTTTTCAATCGAAATGAGTTATACAGAAATGTTGACAATCACATTCCTTAAAATTACTTTCATTGAGAAAACAAGCCACAGACTTAAAGATAATATTTTCCAAAGACACTCTTGATAAAAGACTGCTATCCAACCTATACAAAGAATGCTTAGGAGCCAGATGTTGTGGCACACACCTCTAATCTCAGCTCTTTGGGAGACTGAGGCAGAAGGATGGTAAATTGGAGCCCAGCCAGGGTAATTTAGTAACAGCAAAACTCTCAAAATTTTAAAAATTAATTTGGGAAGATGAAGCAGGAGGATTGGAAGTGTGAGCCCAGCCTGGGCAACTGAGGAACTTATGAGATCTCATCTCAAAATTAAAAAAATTTTTTTTTAAAAAAAGGGGCTGGCGGGGCTGGGGATTTAGCTCAGCGGTTCAGTCAGTGGCCTGCCTTGCAAGCGCAAGGACCCGAGTTCAATCCCCCATACCAAAAATAAAAAATAAAAAAATAAAAAGGGGCCGGGGATGTTACTCAGTGTGAAGCCCAGGGTCCATTTCTCAATATTGCATAAATAAATAAATTAATAAGGTAAGCAATTAATTTAAAAGGGCATGTAGCTCAGTGCAAAGGCTCTGGATTCAATCCCCAGTACCTCAAACTTATAAAATTATAAAAAAATTATACAATAAAAAACTATACACATAAAAAAATAAACATTTGAAGCTCAACAATAAGAAAACAAGCAATGTAGTTTAAAAATGGGCAAAACTGGGCTGGGAATGTACCTCAGTGATTCCTCTCCTGTCTGGCAAGTGCAAGGTCTTGAGTTTGATCCCCAGTACCAGGAAAAAAAATGGGCAAAAGACCAACCAGACACTGCACCAATGAAGATCCGCAGATGGCAAGGAGCATATGAAAAGATGTTCAATGTCACAGGTCATTAGGGTATTGCAAATGGAAACATCAAATACCACTACAGACCTATTAGAATGGCCCAAATATAAAACACTGATGGACCAAGGATTTAGCTCAGTGGTTTCGACGCCTGCCTCACAAGCACAAGGACCAGTGTTTGATCCCT